TTGGAAGGTCCATCTGCTTGGACAGGATTTCTGTCACTACGCTCTTGATCTAATCACGCAGCACAGCGACCGGAGTGGGGCAGAGCTGAACGGGTCTCTGGGCAGGACGGGGATGCGAGTTAGCCCGCAGCAACGTTCGTGCGCGTTGGCCTAGCCCCGCCCCTTCCCTTTCCTCCCCACCCAGCCCCTCCCCGTCAACTCGGCCCCGCTCGGCATGCCCGACCCTGCTCGAACCCGTGCTCGACCCTGCCCGACCGCTGCCGGACCCTGCCGACTGCCCGACCATGCCCGAACCTGCCCTAGCCTTTGTCCGGACCAGAATCGCCCCGCGCCACGTCGGCTTCACTCTTCCCCCTTTCCCCTTCCATGCACCACTTCGCCTCGTTCACCCTTCCCTCACACCTTCTCCCCCTCACCACTCCCGTCTCCTCCCACCCCCGCCCAGCCCTATCCCATCAATCCCTGCACCCCTTCCACCTCGCTCTGCCCAGCCTGATCCCTCTGCTCGCCCAGCCTACTCGACCCCTTCGCCCCGTTTCGACGCGCCCTGTAAAGTGTTCGTATTTTAAAGTATTATCCGCGCGCGGATTCGGGAAACACGCGCGGCGAAACTTTACGATCCATTTTTGCGCGTGTTGCGTCCACTCGTCCTTTTGTTTGACACGGCACAATACTGCTGCTCAAACATCAATATTCACTGGAAACGAGAACTAAAATAAGAGGTGAACATAAATATGAATGTGCTGTGACAGTGTGCCATTAACGAAATAGCGGAGAGTTCTCTGAAGTAGGAGAGCGCCCCGATCGCAATAAATCGGACAGCGTCCGTGAGGGGGGTGGCGGTATTCGCGGATGTGGGGGGAGGGGGAGGGTTTTTAGCGCTATCATTGGCACGTGCGCGTGTCGCCGACTGCGGAATAAAAACGGACGCGGGGTCGCGGCGAAGCGGAACGGAGTAGGATTTTTCAACGTCTGTTGCGGCGATGCTTCGCGCTGTCACAGCCAGGCCCGCGCCGACGGAGGTATTTCATGTGCTGCGGATTCTATTGAACGAGAAAGACGCATTGCCTCTGTATCGCCCGATTCCTCATCACTTACATGTATGACCGGATCGGTTATATGTGAGGCACGATTCGCGGCTGTGCGTCGACTTCAAACGGCTTATGGTTGCGTCTGTACTGTGTCGGCGTTCTCGTTTCTGGGATAAGGTAGTAAATTATGCCTCTCCAATGTTAAGTATGACGTTCAGAAACCTTTAGAGACGTGACTAAAGTGGACGTTTCCTTGATATGTTCTTATCTCATAGTCAGATAAACTTCTCCCCCCTACGTCACATGCAGTTTCGAATTGTTTTTTGACTGGATAAATCTAAATCTAAAAATCTAAACTTTCGTTTTAGGAATGAAGTAGTCTTACGTTTTTTGTGACTAGAAATTTCTCTAATGTCTAAGAAGTTTCGTTTAAAGTGGCTGAGATAGGATTGTTCGAGATCTAGTATAATTGCTGTATAATATGCAGAATAATTTGACACGATGTCGAAATAACCATTCTTACATAATTTCTACCGAAAATGCAGAAAAACGAGAAACTGCAGTCAAAATAAAAACATGATATACGAAAATATAAAAGTATAAAAAAATAAATAAAAATATTAAATTCAAACCTAGTTTTGAGTTACAGATATATGAGGGTTCGTAATCAACTCATACTAATAATGTCGTATGAGGGTACGGTTTGTATTAAAACACTATCTTATTTCAGCGTTGTCTTTCTGTAATTAAAAGTTTCACTTTGTGAGTCTTAAACAAGTTTTTCAATCTCGAAGGTAAAAGATCGCAAAGTGAATTATGACGTCATTATATTGATATGCTAACGAAATTTTATGAAGTACGGTCTCGTTAATGAGTTTCTCGCAAAAACCAGAAGCTAGTTTTGAGTTACAGACGTATGAAATTTTTTAATTTGCTTCTTTTTACATAGAAGCGACGTCTATCGATGCAAATATGTCTGTTGTTTTAAAATGGATTTTTGAAATGCAATCTCCCGTAGAATTAAAACGGCTTTTGTGCTTCGTCCTTTCATAGGAAAGAATGAGCCTTGACATCTATTTTTAAACTTGTTTTTCTTGAGATCAGTTAACACGACAGGGAATGTTACAGCGACTCGCTTTGAGTTCGTCACTCAAAATTCATCTCGCCCGCAGTGGACATGATTTAAATAATGCAGAGGATCTTGAAATGTCACGTCCGTTCGCTACAGAGGCCAGCTCTTGCATGTGAATTCATTTTTGTGTAATGAACTACAAAATAAATGCAGACTGAATAGATTAACGGTTTTTTGTTTTTCTGTTGCGGTATAAAGGACAATACATGTTTTTACAGCATATTCAAAATATATTTTATCAATTGCGAAACATTTTCCAATAAGAGCTTGTGGTATTTTTTTTTATTTTTGAATGCACATTTTTTTATAAAAAGAGACCTCAGTAGAAATGCGTAGCAAGAATTTAGATGAACACTAATAGCATACGAGTACTTCCAAATAGGATTTGTTTCCCCTCACATTGTTTTATGAAACTATGTACACAGACGGAAAAAAAAGGATTTAATATAATTTTTGTCTCAAAATCAGGAAAATAAACAAAACCATTTTTGCTTAGGTTCGCGCCAGCGTAACTTTTTTCATTTCGCGCTTAGCAACTCGCAGGCCGCGCAGCCGGCGTCGGGGTGCGCCAACCGTTGGCGCCGGGGCCGTGGCCCTGGGATTAGGCCCGGGAGGCGCCAGCGCCGCGCCAACTTCTGGCGTTCCGACGTGCCAGCGCCGCGCCTTGCCACTGTCTTCTGCCGTATTCTGCCGAAAAACTCTTGGCAGTGGGCGGCAAATGCCAAACGACCTACGAATGTTAGCGGAAGGCAATGTCCTGAACAAAGGAAGCGCGAGTGTTTGTTCCTCCACCACGCGCTTCACTTTTGGGAATAATAATAATAATAATAATAATAATAATAATAATATTGTAAATTTATACATCTGTTACAATACGGGTTTAAAAAATTATTTTTTTCGTATTGATAAACAAAAAACGTTTTGGATTGAAATTTTAACACACATTTCGTGGTGAATTAAATTGGTAATTTTGTTCTGTGCAAACATGATATTTCGAATCTCGAAAGAACAGAGAAAAATTGGGTTATCGAAAAAGGTTGGAGTTGCATGTTCTGTACGTAATCATTTCGAATTATACTAGATTGAGTTACTGAAGATCAAATTACGGCTGGTAAATTGTTATTTACATTTTGTAGCAAAATACTTTCTTAACATTACCAAGCAAACATTTCTCGTTATATTGCAATAAGCTCTCGATAAACTTTCTAATTGCAAATTATATTAAATTTATTTTGCATGTTCGTTGTGGGCTAGTACTTGGGGCAAACATTTCAATTACTAATTAGATTCAACAAATTACTACTTATTTGATAACACTAAAATACATTTTTCATTTAATGCTACATAGTATTCATTTAATGCATTCCTAACTCTCAACTGCATTCCACTTCACATTCCTTTTTAAATTATAAAATAAATTATTTATTACTTAAAAAAATGTCTTGCTTGCCGTAACAGTTATCAAATAGATAGTGTCAGTGAGGAGGCAAAATATTTTATCATCTTTTTATGTACAGTTCGTTCTGTTTCTGATCAAGGGTCTCACAACAGAATTTCCAGTGCAAATGGAGTGGAGTTGGTTACATATCTAGATTGGCCCTATACAAAAACCTTGGAATAGTTGCCGCTTCTTTTGGACTCCTACCGGCTTTATTCTTTATAACGTTGTGTTCACTTATGTTTGATTTGTTTAAAAATTAAAGTTGTATTTAATATTAAATTAACTTTTTTGTATGTTTTTCGTATATGTTATGTAGCATTATAAACTAACAATAAAATTAAATTAATATCTTAAAATGTATATTGAATTTTCCGTGTTTCAACTGTAATTCATGCTTTTTTGTATATTGTAACAATTGTTATGAAACAAATATTTCACCTTTATATTCTAAACAGCCTTTTTTAAGGATAAGTAAAGTTATTCGCATCGGATATTATGATTGTGTCTTGCAAAAAGGCGTTTATCTGGTAACTTTTGTTCATAGTTTCGTATCGAATTTGAGTTTCCGCGTTTCTAGTACCTCTGTGAAGAGAGCAAGGATCTCCTCACCTGTGTGTGAATAGCCCTTGATCCCCATCCGCTTCTCCGCGGGCTCCTGCACCTGTACCTGGACTCGAGCGGAACGGCGCGGCACGGCAGGGCACAGCGTGCGAGCCCCTGCGGCTTCGCAACCCGCCTGACACCTGCGTCACGCGGGCTTAGCGGCGTGCGCCTGCGGCGGCGCACAGCAGCCGCGCCGGCGCGACGCACCGCCTGGATTTTGCGGGAGCCCTGCCTCCCTCCCCCTTCCCCTTTCCACACCCACCACACCACACTCCGCCCTTCCTCCGCGCCTAGCGGCATTATGCCATTCGGTTAATGGCCGCTCGTACATCCCGGATAGGTCGCTAATGCCGCCGTAAAATCCGTTTGTTTTTCCGCCGAGGGGGGTTGATTTCGTGTTAGGAACTAGCTGGGTGGCCTCTGGTTTGGGCTCGACGGAGATGAATGTGAATAACGTCAACTTTTAGGGGCCCTTCCTCCTCCCCCCGTCCTTCCTCGCCGCCCCCCACCCCGACGCCGCTCTCCGCTTCGTGACATGCCCTGTTTCGCGTGTATCCACTTCAGAGGCGAGCCTCGTTTGTTATAAATGATAATGGCGGGTTGGGCGTTGTAGTTTATACGCTTGTGAGTTCTAATGAAGTGGTTAACTCAAGTTGAAAGTCGGCTCGTAACGGATGTCACCTGCAGTGTTCCACTCCCATCGATCCTCATCTTACAAAAGGCTCTCCGAGCAAATTTGGTTTTATATCCTTAGTTGGCAAGAGACTGGAGGAAAAGTTTCGTTTGTTTCAACATGTATTTCTGCCATGTTCATTCTGTATTGCAAAATGCTAACTGTGCATTTTACTTGCCTAGCAGGGAGTACTTCTTGTTTCCTTTTGCTCTTCTCGTCCCGTTAGCAAGTATGTCTTGTGACTGGTGTTTCTCTCTGTGTTGCAGCCTCGCGTATTCGATACGAGATCACGAGCGGGAACATAGGCGGCGCCTTCGCCGTCAAGAACATGACAGGCGCCATCTATGTGGCCGGCGCGCTCGACTACGAGACTCGCAAGAGGGTGAGTCACAGCTCCCGCCAGGAGCTTCTGCTTCGGATTATTCTGCCTGGGGGCGAAATGTGTTTGCGTTGTGGCTGAGGTGCTGTATGTGGCTCAAGATCGACAATGTAATCCATAGGTTATACCATTTTATCATATACTTACGTCAGAGGTTATATTATTTTAAAAAATCATCGTAAGGATGTCCCTTGCAGTACAAATTCTCTTCAATCTATGTGTTCTGTGTATTCTAAAATTCAAATTTGAATTAATAATACCACCAACTTCGAATAATGTGTTAAATTATCAATGAGATTGGACCAGATTACTATTATTTTCTTAAGTTTCGTCATTATTTCAAATATTTTATTTATAGATGCTATACATTTCAACAAACGTTTTCTTTTAATTTAATAAAAAAAAACACGTTTTTGTTTTTTCATTTTACTATTGTCAGTATTTCAGTATTAGAGGGGATCGAAAATATCCATAATAAAAATTATAAAGGTTTGAAGTCAGTGAGAATTCGTTTCGCAAAGATTAAATTCCAAAAATCATCCGAGATTATATGGCAAAGATCAGAAAGTAGACCAACCAAAAATATAAAGCCTTTCTCAAGTAAAATGAAGCCTACATCGCCTTATATCGAGTGTATCAAAGTGTAGGAGAAGGAATTTTAATTCAGACCTCAAAATTTAACATTTTACGAGATTCGAGGAAATGTCTAACTTGTTACTCTAAAACAAACATTGGTTGTTGTAGTCATTTCTCCACTTTGCGAATAATGTTTACCTCGTTCCAAAAGCACATGGTATTCCTAAAATTCTATGTCGCTCGTGTGCCTGTTGAGAGGCATTTGCTGTTTGTTGATGCTTCGCTCCCCAGTTAATTAATGTTAATTAAATAAATATATTCAAGTACCTCATTTGCCAAAGTCCAGTGGATGTTCATCCAGGTCAACATAATGGCTCTCCATGCTCCACTGAATATCCGACTTCATTCGTTTGCAAAATGAAACAATGATGGAATATTTTTTTACGTTAGCGACTCTTTTAAACATGAATGACTCAGGGCGTAAATATTTTGGAAAACTTTTTTTTGTGTGTATAGGCATAATATTTTACTGTATTGGGTTCAAAATTGATGCCTCTTGTCGCAAAATCGAGACTCACGTTTTAAACCTGAGTCTTTTTCTGCTTCATTCCAAAATTTCGAATGTAGATGTATTTCTTTGTGACCGTCATTCCACCTCAGCCACAATATGAAGTAATCGTGTTAAGCATACGTTTACTAATATATACTTAAGTTTTCTTTAGGAATGGACAGCTCTGCAGAACAAAAAAGGCATTGACTAACTATCGTCATCCTCAGCAACTACCTGACTGCAGGCCAGCACAGAAGAGTCACGAACATTTACCCCTTGTTACGTCCCTTCGGCGGTGCTGTGCTCCAACACGTGGCGAAAAGGGCGGGAAAGCTGTCTCGTCGAGGGCCAAACAATAACGCAGCGGACCTCCTCTTAATGAAGGAGCTCCGCCGAGTTAGGAAGCCCGGCCCCCTCTTCCCGGTCCCCGCTCGCGCACACGACTCACGTCCCCCGTCGTTCGTCCCGCGTCCCACACCCTACGTCCCGCGACCTCACAGCGCGCTAGTTCCGTCCTCGGCCGCCGCGGGCGCGCGCGCCGGTCGCCGGGGCCGGGGGCGGACCGACGGCAGAGCTGCAACAAGCGGAACTTTTGCGTCCGTTTAACTTCGTTGTTTCGGCGACTGCGGGATGGGGATCCGCGAAGCGGGAAGGGGCGTGAGGGAAGGAGGGCTCGGTGTTGACAGTAATTAGCGGCGACGCAGGCGCACAATGCCCATTGTGGCCGCGAGGCGCGCTAGTGCTGCAAGTGGTGGGGTCTGTGTCGACGCGGGCGCCGCCGCTTTGTGTGGAAACTTGTGTGCACCTCCTGGCTGACAGATTATTACAGCGACGCGACAGTCTTCTCCGTTAACACCGCTCAAATTCGAAGGCTTCTTCGGTCGATTCAAATCAGTTGGCGGTTCTTCATATTTTTTAATCAATAATTGTTTTTGACAGACACTCGTTAAAAACAGTTACTATTATGGTGCGTTAAAAATGTAATTTTAGTACTAATGCTAAAAGTGAGACGATGTTCAAATGTTCAGATAAAACTGTGAGTCCAACGAAGAGAACAAAATACTTTCGTTTGACCGCATCAGCAACTATCGACCTTAATGCCACTCGACCTACCAGCTTCTAGTCGCAACCTTCTCTGGTTACAAAATAAAATGCCACTTTTACCGCTCGTATCATTAATATTTTCTATTCTCTAACTCAGATATACCCCTTAGCTTCTTTGTCTTTGATTTTACTACAGTAAATATTGATTAAAACTGTCCAAAACTCATTACTGACGTTTTTAATCACAGTCTAACATTGCTGTCGTTTAATCTAGGTTAAATTTTTAATGAATATGTCAGAAGTTTACATTAGAGACATTTTTTTTATTAATTATGAATTGAATTCTCATAAAGTAAGTCTTTCTTTATTAATACATTATACACATTCCACATTCCCATAACCCCCGTATAGTGCAGCAGAAAACTAATTCTAAGAAATAACTACTTTACTATGAAATACATAATAATACTGTCGGATTGACTGAGATTCCCATGGGAGAGATATCAAATACACACTACATTCGTTGACACACCAGTCATAGCATGACCTGTATTCCTTCGAGTGTTGCCATTGACTCAAGTATTTCCCCCTGATATTACTGCAATAACCCCCTCAACGACACACACACACACACACACACACAAAAACAATAATTTTAGGTCACTTGTTTTAGTTTACATATTTCTGTAACGTTACACCCTTCCCTGAGAGACTTCTGACGACTTGTGCACCGCATTCCCGCGAGGGACGCCCCGCCTCGACGAAGGAGGAATGGTGGTTCGCGGGTCGCGTCGAGCGGGCGCCTGAGGTTTACGAGCGGCGGAACGGCAGCGTAACCGCGGTACGTGCCCCTCGCGCGACGCGGGGACGGGGGAGGGGAAGGGGCCGGGCGTGAAGGCGAGTGGAAGGGGAGAGGAGCCGCGCGCGCCGCGAAGCCAGTCGCTCGGCGCGAGACGACTCAGTGTCAGTGGCGGACGCTCGCGTGTCACACCGGTTGCACAGACATCTGTACGCTGCCGCTTTTCAAAAATTGCGTCTCACGCTTTCTTTTTTTTCTTCTTTTTCTTTTTTTTTTCTCGCGTGAAAAATAAATAAATAAATCTTGCTAGCCTCAGGTTAGATGTTCATCTCACGAGAGCTATCGGCGAAATTCTGTTCGGTTGTAGCATTTTTATTCATAATTTTATTCCTTATATCTCATTAGTCTGGAAATAAGCGCGGCAGCACACGCGGAATTACTGGGCTAACCAACTTTTTATGTTTTGCGTCTTCTGTTCTGTGCGTTTAGGTTTCTGTTCTGCGTAATGGCATCTTCTGACGCAAAATTTATTTAAATATTACGCGTTTAGCTGTTTAGTCTCTAGGTTTTCGCGACAAAAAAGACTGAGGCGAGGTCATACTACTGTACAAAAAAGCTTTATAAATAGCTTCTTGCTTTATTTAAAATTGTAGTTATTTTCACGTATCATTGAGCCCCGTGGCTGCGTTCACCGCTATGCTAGACATTACGTTTGTAATCAGCATTAAACCAAGAGGAAAAGAGAAGTATTTGACAAGAAACATCCGTACGTGAGTGATACATTCGTATTTTATTTCAAGCATTCCATTCTCGTTTTTAACTCGGGACACTTTTTGCGTGATAAATTAACAAAAGTTAAATTATACATAAGCTTCCGTCGTGTCGCGTCATTTATTTTAGCGCTGTCTAGTAATAGTGGTTTCGCAAAGAAGCAAGTTCATTTTTCAAACCACGAAGCAAATTGTCCAAATGCAATTGCTTTCCCAGCAGACCTCAAACTCGTAGAGATGTCTTGCAACTCTGAACGCCCGAGGCTGCAGGGGGTCACGCGGCGGGCGACTCGGGGTGGGGGCGGGGGCGGTGCTTCCGCTCCCGAGGGAAGTCGTGCGCTGGAGGCGGCCCTCCCTGCATTTTTCTTGCGACGCAACCGACGCCGCCGCCGCTGAATCGGGGGCACGGAAAGTGGGAAGAGAAGGGCAGGGAGGTGGAAAGTGGGCGGTGTCGCCGCTCGAGCGTCCGTCGCCGCAAAACCCGAGGAGGTCGCGGAGAAACGCGTCCTGTGGCTCTCGGAGCGTGAGAGAACAAGCGCCCACTTTGTCCTCCGTCAGCTACGGCCCCCACCCCCGTCCCCGTCCGCACTGTCCGTCGCCGCGCCGGTGGCCTCTCTCTGACGATCGCTCCGCCCGCATGCGTCCGATGCGCCGCCAGCCGTGCAGCCACTTTAACTGCTTATCTGCATAATTACTCCCACTTCTAGAAGCTGCACCCGACTTTACGGTTGGGTACGCAGTTCACACTTTCCAGACGCCTGCCTTTTACCTGTCCGCGACGGCATAACGAATTATTTTTTGCATCGAAGAAACTTTTTGTAACGCCATTTACTACCATTTTTATGCTCGTATTTTACGTTTTTGATTTATAAAAACTTTATGCATATTTATAAAAATAAATTAAAAATTAGACACGAAAATTGAAAATTGTGTTGTATGTATTAATTATTTTCGTCATGAATTCTAAACGGGATACTTTGGGAAACGTTATTACCATCCGATTACCACAATGCAAGTAACTCTGGAAGCTGCTTTTACGTTCCTCCTTTCATGTCGATCTCTACACCCTCATCAAGCGCCGCCTTCCTTGCGCCGCCCTCGCCGCGACGTCACGACGCGGTCCCCTTCCGAAGAGAGATTTGGATGAATACGTAAATCTGCAAACCACGTTGCAGGCGGCAAGGAGTCGGATACTGCAGACGGTGCCTGCTACTGCCGCGCCCCTCCTCCGCAGGAACGTCGAGAGGGTAGGGCTGGGGGAGGGCGCTCGGGGCTGCAGAGAACGTGCGATGGATGAGTTGTGTGGCGCGCGCGGTCTCCGACCGCCCTTCTGCCGATGACCCTCGTAACTCTTTCTTCCGCCCACCCATTAATTTTTTTCGATCCCTCTTCCGTACGGGCTATGAATGGCGTTCGATCATGGGAGAGTTAGTTATGTGCCATCTCAGCTGCAGAATAGTATGTAAAGAGTCCATGTTTTTTTTTTTGAGTGTTGGTGAAGACACAAAGTGAGACTATTATTGTGCATTAAGAATAAAACGACTTACTCTTACTGGATGACGTGCATTAATGGTGGCCCGTCCCAAAACGTTCAAAGATACGTCCCCAAAACACATCAATATGAAAATGGTCTCCACAAAAGGCAAGAATTTGGCACGTATAACACACATAAAGATTTCTTAATTCGGTAATTGTTTTGCTATTTCAATAGAGGTTTTTACCAAACTGGATTGTTTTTTAGACGGCTATTGAATACCTTTTTATATAGTGTCCACTCATCCGCATAAACTCACCAGGTTCTTTTTCCGTTTTCAAAATTGGGTTGAAAATTTTATGAGTAAAAAGAAAGTTCAAAAGCGTACACGGTGAAAAGCATACTTCTTTGTCACAGTCGGGAAACACAACGTAATTCTTTTTCCAGTTTCTTCCGTCTATTGGGGAATTGTTTTCAAAAAACAAAATGTTTTTGATCGCATACTATTGAAGTTCTAGTGCTGTAAGAGTACACCTGGAGCTTAACATTAAATGCTTGACATAAGATAATAAACCCCAAACCTACCTTCTGATCCAATATGCATTCTATTTATAGCCGGCCACAAATATTTTACTCTCATTACATTTGCGTTTTACCTAGACTCTTGATAGACCCACTAATATCGAAACGTGGGAAAAAACAAAAAAAGAACGCACCAACATGACTAGCGGCACAATTGAAAACGAGGAAAGAGCTGTGGAAACCAATCGCCGTTTTCCTTTGTTAAATTCTGATAAATAGTACTTTTTTAAACCATGGTGTCTGATACAAATATTTGAAAAAGATAATAATGAAATTTTGTATTAGCGATTCCTTTAACTATAACCTGAACGCTACCTCAACAGATTTTCTGAAAAGTAGCTCCTGATTTAATTTTTTAATTGTATTAAGATATAGAATAATACTTTCAAAGAATGTGGACGAAAATGTAATTGCTCATTTAAACACCCTATGGAAATTTTTTCAAACATTGAAAAGTGTGTAATTTTTTCGAAATCCGCATGCTTTGTTTGGTGAAGAGCGATTTTAAGAGATGGCTGAAAGTATTAGTAATAAAAAGTGAA